GGCCAGGGCACGGGGCGGGGCCAGGGCATGGGGCAGGACTGGGGTGGGCGGGGCAAGGGGCGGGGCCATTATGTGGGTGTGGTCGGATGGGCGTGGTCCGCAGGGCGTGGTCGCTGTCGGGGCGGGGGCGAGGCTCGCGGGTGCACGATCGGGCCCGGGGGGATGCGCAGCTCACGGGRCGATGGGTCCTCACTCTCCTCTGACCATCACGGGTGTCCCCACACACTATCGCGTCCCCAGCTATGCCAGGCCAGTGCCCTGGGCGGGGCACGCATTTCGGCCCACCCATGATTGGCCATGATGGATGTCCCCATGTGCCCCAGGCTGTCACGGTAGCCAAGGCACAAGTGTCTCCACTTGCTCCGGGCTGTCACCGTGAGCATCACATGGGTGTCCTTCTCATTCCTCACGTTGTCACTATGGGATAGAGCATGGACAGCTCCTATCAGACCTAGGCCACCACCACGGCAACAAGCACAGAYCTCATCCTGTGTCCCTGGGTTCTAACTGTGGGATAGGGTATGGATGTCCCCTTTGTTCCCCATCCCCATCCCTTTGTTACCATGGGACAATGTGTGGGTGTATCTGTCACCCCCTGGGCTGTCACCAAGGGCAGGCAGAGCCCTTTTGGTCCTCAGGCTGACACCGGGGGACAAGGCATGGACATTTTCCTGCATCCCCAGGCCACCACTGTGAGCCAGAGCAGAGACCTTTCCCTGTGTCCCCAGGCTGTCACAATAGGACAGGGCAGAGGTGTACCCCGGACACCACAGGACAATGTACAGACTACCCCCTGGGACACTGGGATGTCACTGTGGGACAAGGCATGGGCAGCCCCTGGGTCTCCAGGCTGTCACCCACCTCYCCCGTGTGGCCCAGGGTTGTGACCATGCAGCGGGACAAGTGACATCCCTGGACCAAGGACCCAGCACGTTTGTGCAGTGCCACAGGGTGGGATGGCATCATTGCCACCGCCGCGGGGAGGGAGACAGAGACATGAGACACGGGATACAGACAGAATCCTTTAAAAACTTGTCCTTTATTAGTCTGTCAGAAGCGAGTCCCTCTGAATAGGGCGCCCCACCCAGTTATAGCAAAGTGAGCAACGTGAAGGGACCGAGCCCCTCCTGCCCGCGGCCCCCCCAAACCGGGGGGATCGCGGGGACCGGGCTGGGGGCCAGGCTGCCGGGCCATCCCTCCCCGCACAGCCCCCGCCGCCGGGATCCCCTTCCTTCCTTCCTTCCCTCCCTCCCTCCCTTCCTCCAATGTGGGGTGCCCCTCATCCTGCTCCCCCACCCCGGGGGTCAGCTCTGGGGCTGGGGAGGGGCGCGACAGCCCAGGCCCCCCCCCAAATCCCGCAGAGAGCGATAGCACCAAGGGGGACGGCTGCTCCCCGCAGTTTATTCCGCGCTCCCTGCCGGGACCGAGGGGCGGGGGGGGACGGACGGTGCCGGGRAACGCGGGGTCCCTCCGGGGAACGCGGGGCCGGGCACGGCCCCGGGACGGATGGAGGGGTCCGGGGAGGGGGTGTCTCAGCTTTGCTTCGGATTTACATTCTGGACCATGCAGTAGCACCAAAGTTCATGAGGTCATCGGTGACGGAGCGTTACTTCCGCTTCCTCCCGCAGTACTTCCCTGCTGCGCAGCCCGCGCCGCCTGCCAGGGATGGAGGATGCGAGGGATGGAGGATGCGAGGGATGAGCGCTCCCTGCGCCCACACCCCCGCGACGGATGGGACAAGGGCAGGGAGCCAGGACCGGCCCCTGGGAGTGGGGGCCGTGCTCACCTCTAAAGCCCAGGGCACCCAGGGCTCCTCCGTAGGGCTTGGGGGGCTTCCCTGGAGGGCGAAGGCAGAGCGGGGTGAGTGGGACTCCGTGGGGATACGGACTCCTCACCCCAAGACGCCCCGCGGGGCGATGGACACTCACCGCCAAATCCCAGCTGGCCGCCGACCCCACCTGAAAGGAAAGCGAAGCCCTCARCCCCCAGCGGGCACCCTCATTTCTCTGTCCGGTCCCCCGGCCCAGCCCGGCCCCGGGGTCCCTCCCCAGCCCGTGGCCGTGTCCCTGTGAGCCGGCCAGGCACCGACACAGGTGCCGGCTGTGTGCTGAGCTGCCAAGCTGGGGCTGGTACCTGGAAATATCGGTGACACGCCGAAGCCGGGAACTCCAACCCCTGGGGAAAAAGCAACAGCCAGTGACAGCCAGTGACAGCAGTGCCACCCTGACGTGGACTGGGGACACCCTAGCTGCGATCCGTTGTTTACTCCAGGGACAGGAGCTGATGCAAAAGCCGCTGTCGCACCCTGGCAGCTCTCTGGCTTCCCCGTGCTCTCCCAGGCAGCCGCGTGCCCAGCAAGGAATGGCAGCAGCGTGGGTCAGCAAGCGGGGGCGAGTGTGGCAGCATAGGCGAAACACTCCCACCCCAGCCCCAAACTGCAGCACACACAAACCTGGCTGCAGCCCCCCAAAACCTGCAGGTGGCAGAGCCCCAGTGASGGTGGGGAGCGTGAGCACAGCCATGGGAATGTGGACGGGGACAGGGACTGGAGTCACTCCTCCAGTGCCTCTGGCTGTCCCTTACCTGGCTTGGGAGGTTTCCCAGCAGCTCCTGGATACAAGAGTCCCATGTCAGAGAGGGGCACCTGCAGCCCCTGCCCAGACTCGCTGCCCCAGGGCCACAGCCTGACCCTTCAGGAGGGACCCAGAGGATCCCCAGGAGGGACCTGCATTTCCACACCTTGGGGACACGGTACAGCGCCATGCCTGGCATGGGCAAGGCTAGTGCTATGGCACTCAGTCCCTACTCAGCAACGGCATTCCCTTGAGATCACACCCTGGGAACAGGGCAGGGGTGGCAACACAGGATGGGGCACAAGGCACGGTGACTGTGGGATGGGACTGTAGTGTGAGACCAGGAGGGGACAGAAGTGACCCATAGACTCCCTTTSCTTGTCATCGTTCTGCTGGCACACGGCTGCTCCCTGCAGCCCAGCCCCGGGGAGCCCCTGTGCCGGGAGCAGCAGCACTCACCGAGCCCACCAATGCCGAGGCCACCGACTCCGAGGCCACCTGTGAGGAGGAGGAGCCCGGGTGAGCACCAGCAGGGACAGGCAGTGGGGCAGTGTCTGCTCCGCTCCTCACCCAATGCTGAGTGTGCCCGTCCTTCCTCGGGCAGCCCCGCTCCCTCCGTGCCCAGGGGGAGCATCCCTCTGCCTGCCCATCCCCACTGCCTGGGCTCAGCTCCTGCCAGCACTCACCTGGGAGGCCACCAACCCCTGGGACTCCAACCCCGGGGACACCTGCCAGAAAGACACTGTTAACAGCCATCCCCCCAAAACGTGGCACCCCCAGCTTGGAGCACCCCCAGCCAGTGCCCAACCCATGCACCCATCTCACAGCACCCAGAGGGGCTTCAGCCCCTGTGTGACACATGCAGAACTGTCCCCAGCGAGTCCAGRGTGGGGGGTTCAGGTGGCACTTTGCACTCATGGGTGACAGCACACCGCTTTTCATGCCTGGGCCATCAGGCACAGTGGGCACGCAGGGGACACGAAGAGAGGTCAGCACCCCGATGGCCACATGAGGAGAGTGCTCAGGGACAGTCCGGGTGGCCCTGGGGCAAGGGGCAGGGGTACGTACCGAATTTGGGAGGTTTAGCACCAGGCTGCACCCCTACTTGGGGGATGCCTGCAAAGTGAGTGAGGACACCGCAGTTAGGACGGTCACCCCTGCCCCCCTCTCAAGTGCCACCACCCTCTGTCCCACCCACATCCCTCCYTGCCACACCTCCACGTGGCTCAGTGGCTTTTAGCATTCCCAGCCACCAGTGTCCCCAAGCAAGGTGTGACAAAGCAAGTACCTGCCCCGGGGAGGATGCCAGTTCCAGGTACTCCCACCCCCGGCACCAAGCCGGGCACGCCACCAACACCAGGTGCCACTCCAGGCACTCCGCCCACGCCGGGCACCGCACCTGGCACCCCTGCACCTGTGGGAGAGGGAGTGAGGCAATGTGGGGTGATCCCCATGCTTATGTGGGATCATGTGCCAGCCCTGGGGTGCCCGCCCCCAGCATCCCCTGGACCAATCCRTGCCACACCATGGCTGGTGGGAGACTCCAGATGTCACCTGGGTGTGACCAAGGGACTCCCCACGCCGACTCACCGAATTTAGCTGCCTTGGCTGCTGCTTTGGCTGCTGCTGCTGGGCCTCCGACCCCTGGGCAGAGACAGCAAGGGGGAGTCAGTGACACTGGGAGGAGCCTGTCCCTCAGGCCTGTCTGCATCCCCCCAGGGGACACCACTGAGGTTCTCCTCAAGCCTGTCCTGCCCCAGAACTGCCCCCACACCAGCCAAGCTGTCACCACTGGCCTTCCTCTTCCTCACCTGGGACACCTCCAACACCAGGAACCAGGCCACCTACTCCAGGAACAAGGCCACCCACGCCGGGAACAAGGCCACCCACGCCGGGAACAAGGCCACCTGCTCCTGCAAGGAGAGAGGGAAGGACTGGGGCTTCAGCTCTGGAGGAAAGGTGGTAGAAGGAGTTGAATGAGAAAGTATGGCAGGCTCAGGGTGGATGGATGGATGGAAGGATGGATGGATGGATGGATGGATGGATGGATGGATGGATGGATGGATGGATGGACGGACGGATGGATGGATGGAGGGAGGGACGGATGGAGGGAGGGAGGGACGGACGGACGGACGGATGGATGGATGGTGAGATGGATCCATCTATCTCGGGATAGATATGTGTGTGAATGGGGTGTGGTTGAATGGATGGTGGGATGGGTAAATGGACAGATAATGAGATGCATGAATGGTTGAATGGATGGTGGGATGGATGTGTGGATTGATGGACGAGCGTGTGGATGGATATGAAGTGACTGAATGGATGGGTGGTCGGAGGTACAGATGGATGGACAGAGAAGGGACAGATGGACACTGAGGTGGTTGGTGGTGGGGTTGGGTAGAAGGGGATGTGGATGGACTGATGTATGGGAAGGTGTTCGGATGGTGAACTCGGACCCTCCATGGGGTTCAGCTCTCTGGAGCATGGCCCTGACACAGCCAAAACCACATCCCACATTCAGCCCTAGAGGGAGTCATCCCTCAACCTGACCCTCAGGAACCCCTCAGCCCAGGGTGGGGATGAGCAGGAGACAGGGCAYGTGGGATAACCCCAGAGAGATCCCAGCTTACCGTACTTAGCTGCTTTGGCGGCTGCTTTGGCGGCTGCTGGGCCTCCTGGGGGACAGGGGAGGGACAGGGTCAGGAACGCATTCAGCCAGCACCGCTGGGGACAGCCGAGCATCCCTTGGGCACCATCTCACCTGGAACACCGACCCCGGGCACCAAACCGGGCACACCCACACCAGGCACACCAACTCCAGGCACACCTACGCCGGGCACACCTACTCCGGGAACGCCAACGCCGGGCACACCTACTCCGGGCACACCTACACCGGGCACGCCAACGCCGGGAACACGTCCTGCTCCAGGAGAGAAGACGAGGGATGTGTCTGAGGGGGAAGCCTCCACAGCACTGGGGTGTCCCCACCTCTCCAGTATGCCAACCCCCTCTTCCCTCCCTGGGTCAGCTGGTGGTGACAGTGGTGACTCACCGATCGCCGCTGCTTTCGCTGCAGCCTTTGCTGCGGCTGCTGCTGCCGGGCCACCCACTGTGGGGACACAAGGGACATGGTCAGGGCACTGCCGAGGCTGGTGTCACCCCACAGCAGGTGACAGCTCATCTGCTCACCTCCGACACCAGGCACAGCACCGGGAACCCCAGGCACACCAGGAACGCCTGGGACACCAGGGACACCGGGAATTCCAGGAACTCCAGGAACACCAGGAACACCGGCGATGCCAGGAACACCGGCTCCTGCAGGGAACAGGAGGGGAGAACTCAAATCTCAGCAGCTAAAAGTGGGGACCTGCCACGGCTCTGCTCTTGGCACCATGTCCCAGAGAGCGGAGCACCCATGGCCTCATCCAGGAGAGACAACAGCAGGGAAGCAGGAGGATCAGTTCCCAGTATCGCTGGACCCAGCTGGACACATTTCAGGACCCCAGAAGGTTTGGGGACAGTGACCCTGGGCCCA